CTATAAGATGGACATACCACTTGGCTGTTCTGCTTCCATATATAACAGTTAATTAAAAACTTAATGCAGTGTGACGTGCTTGTAATGAAATTTCACTCACATTTGACATATATAGTTTACATGCAGAAGAAGGCAATCATTCATTCATAAACAGAAACATCTAAACTTCTGCTTGCCTAGTTTAAAAGGAGCACAGTCAGCAAGAATTTCTTTAAAAACAACTGTCAATTGAACAAAATAGTTCAGGTCCTAAATCATTTCCTAGAACAGAGGAAGAAAGGGGTGAATTACAGTAAAAGTCTTTCATTCCCACAAACACTTCTTTACTGCCAGTTCTCTGGAAATGCTTATGAACTGCTTCTTACCTACTCTATAGAAATTGTAACTACGCTTGCATGCTTTCATGAGGAAAACAAGACATTTACAAATATTTCAAGGCTGGGGATTCTGTTAGAAAGAGTTGTTTAGTGACAACTCAGCAAAGATAAATGAGCAAGAATCAGACAATTTCAGGTTTACTGAGCCTTAATAAAATGTAAAAGTATGAACTTTATTTTATTTAAGGCAGCAAACTGAAGGTTTCTTAATTTGGATAGCTTATTTATGAAAATTCTGGGAATGCATAAAATTTTCACAAATCCTTGGAAGACAGGAGGAAGTAGGAAAACCTTTATGTAACAAAAAGTAATAAATTTATGTAATAAATTTAATAAATTGTTATTATTGTTGTTGTTATTATTATTGTTATATTATTATTATTATTATTATTATTATTATTATTATTATTATTATGTAATAACTTTAAGAAGTGCTCCTATATTTTTCCTTTCACTGATTTTGTTTCATTTTTTCATTTTCCATGCCACTTTCCCTCTCCCTACACCCAGTTTGGTGAAGTGTTTAATGCATCAGGCTAGAAACCGGGAGACCATGAGTTCTAGTCCTGCCTTAGGCACAAAGCCTAAATTGGATGATCTTGGGCCAGTCACTTTCTCTCAGTCTGAGGAAAGAGGTAAGAGCAAACTACTTCTGAAAAACCTTGCCAAGAAAATGACAGGGACTTGTCCAAGGCAAGCTCTGAATCAAACATAATGGAACAAAAGAAAACAATATTTTTCTAGTTTTACCTTATATGCTTAGCTCAAACTTCAGAGATTGAACAATTCATTATTGATCAATCTAGCTCAATATCAGTATCACTCCCTGCCCAAAACCAGATTATCTCAGATGCATGGGGACTGCAACATGTAGGAATGAATCTCCAACTTCCTTACTTTCTGTAGTTCTTTCTGGAGATGCTGAGAAATAAACTTGGGACGCGGTCTACTAACTGTCTATGGAGATTCTCAGTCATCCAGGTCATGGTTGCCTCAAAGGTGCTTTTTCAAAAAGCAACTGGACTTTCTTTGTTTTCCCTTAAAGATGTTTCGCTTCTCATCCAGGAAACTTCATCAGTTCTGACTGTGGGGCAGGGTGGAATGGAAGAATTAGTTCTGACCTCAAACTCTTTTATCTTTCTATCCCTCCCACCATCCAGTCAGAACTGATGAAGCTTCTTGGATGAGAAGCAAAACATCTTCAAGGAAAAACAAAGAAAGCTCCGCTGCCTTTTGTAAAAACACCTTTGAGGTAGTCTACCAGCATTAGGCAAGTGGAAAAAAATTGCCTTTCTATAATGTCTATCAGCTGTAATCACAGTTCAGCTGGCATCCTATAAGATGTAGCAGGGATATATGAACATGTGTATTAAATGCTGCCACATCCTGAATACATGCCCTCATGTACTGAAACTTCCTTCTGCCTTTCAAAATACATCTAGAACACATTTGGGCCTTTGCGATAAACCTCATTCCTCAACTACAGCCCACCCACAAGAGCATTCCTGTGAAATCAAAGACAAGGCCTGAACAGGTAAATAATTATTATTGCAGATCTGGCATTACTTTAGTCCTGGCAAAGACCAGCTTCTCCAAAGTCTAGAACTCTAACCACCTATATTACCCATATAGGTAACACTCCAGGTTTAAATGCTTATCCCCGACTTTAACAATATAAAAAAATGGCCAGAACTCTTTTCTCTGGTCTTTGCTGTCTGTTGTCCATTTCTTGCCATAGCTTATATAATAGTCCTTCCTGTTTTCTTCCTACTTTGCAGATGGCATTTCTGACCTGCAAGGAGTTAAATAGGCTTTTAGCCATATCGATATCTAGGAATATTACACTGTCCAATAATTTTGCTCAACTCCAGCACCTTATGTTTATTTGAATTATTTGGAAGCAACCACACTGAGAGTAAATTTCAGAATCATTAATCAGTGCAGTTGCCACTGTTAGTCCGGATTAAAGTTGCAATCTGGTTCTCATTTTCAAGATCAGTTGTTATATAGTAATTCAATATAGCTGCTCTTTTCAAGAAGAAGCTCTTGTGAATGAAAAAAAAAAAACAAATTTAAATCAAATGGATTAAGAGGGCAATATAATACAAAAAGTATTGGGATAAATGCGTATCATGAGTCATTTTCTTAGCAGTCTTTTAATTTGAAGCATTTGAAGAGGCAGCCCTCAATCCAGACTTCAAGGTTACAGATGCTCTTCCCTGCAACACTGATTCTCGGCACAACTAAGGGGCCGCTCATTCCATCAATTTAGTGAGGGAGACCAACGTCTTGTCTCATAAAGGCTCTTCACAATGGGAAGTTGTTAATAAGATCTTTTAAAAAAATCTAATTCTGTCAAAACAGGAGGAGGGGAGAGGGAAATGTGCCAGATCTGTATTTTTAGCAAAAGGCCCAGTGAGTTCCCTGCAGAGCTGGTCTGACAGAGCAATTTCCTGTATGAAATGCCTATAGATGACTTTTGGTAGAATTCTGCAAGGAATATGCCCAACAAAGAAATTTGCAGGGCTTCTCTCTTCAATGAAAGAAATCTCCTCTGACACCAGAATAAAGAGATGAAATCTATGTTCCAATGTGCAGTGAATTTTCCTCCTACATACTGTAAACCTGGAGAAAAATTATTAACTGAGCAACTACAAGACAACTTCATCATTTTTCTTTTTATTGCTTTCACACAGACTAGTTAAAGCTCTCTGAATACATAAACATATAACAGAAACAACACTGGCTATTAGCACGGAAATAACACCCATAAGGCTAGTATGCTCCTGGCATTCTACATCACTTTAACCGAGAGAATCAAGCCACTTCATGAAGTTCTCTTTGATTTCCCTAATATTTCATACATTGCTATACCACATCATCAACCTGATACCACAATGCTGAATGGGAAATCCACCGACATCTTGACTAAAACTAGAAAGCCTTTTGGAACAAAATCTAAAGTGCTGGGCAGTATATATAAAAATGTTTATATACCATCACTTTAGTAGGACTTTTGGCATAGGGATTCCTGAAATAATGTACATGTTCCTTGGCAGGAGAGCCTATAACCACTAGCTGACTCAACATCTATACACACATCACTCATGTTCTTGGGACTTCAAAGGCACAGCAACACTTCAACCAAGTTAACCAAACGTGTAGTTTTGACGTGCCCACTGCACACGCAAACACCAAAATGTTATTGCAAGAAAAAAAGAGTAAAATTGCCTATTACTTATCTTTCTGCATCACATCTGAATCGGTCCTTTACCCTTTCAAAGACAGTAAGTAGACAAAAGTAGATAAAGAGCCAAAAGTGCTGGATTTAGAATCAGTCTTCCTAGTCTTTACCCCAAAAGGTTTCACTCTGACTTTAATTCTTCCTTTACAGTCCTGAGCACAAAGCTGTTTGTTTCTGGAAGCTAGCAATTAAGCTCTGTTCCACAAAGACACAAATATCATCAGCCCATCTTTCATCTCCACTTTCCCCCTTTTTTCCAGTTAAGGGAATAACCTTTAGCGTACAAGCTGAAAAGAAGTACTGTACCCTTCTGCACACTATGCAGAACTGGATCTCTGAGGGGAGAGTCATTTTGGATCTAAAGTGATAATTATCCATTCTAATGCACAGAAGCATCAGCAAGGTGTAGTACATCTTACTCTGAAGTGTACTTCTGAGGCTCCACGAAAGAACTGAGCCAAGCACTTTAAATTGTTGTACAGCAATAGGTGGAAGGCCAGCAGAGACTTACTTTCCATGTTGTTTCCTGGGTGGATGGCTAGTTGATACAAAGAATAGGAAGCCAATAGTGGCTGTGAGGTAATGGGGACAAGGAAGAGGAAAAAGCAGAGGGACTATAGCAGACAGTCAGGTAGCCAGATAGGTTTGGAGGCTTTCCAAATGTTTTCTCTCTGCTTCTTCCAAACCTGGAAATGCATCAGCATTTCCATTCTCACTCACTCACACACACACACTTGAACCTATATTACAGTTATCAGTCCTTGGACAGGTATTTCATACACCTGCAGGTATATCTTTGGGTATATTTGCAGGGAATTTTCGGAATTTCAGAATGCAACACTTCTGCCATTTTCAAACCTAAAGCTTATCACTGGGACCGCATGCACCAGTTCTGGGTGCTAAGAGTCGAAGCACCTCTGGCATTCATCAGAATATTCTGCTTTACGGAGTAAAATTGGATCATTCGAACCTAGATCCCTCGCTGACCACGGCGCACAATTATTCCAATTTACACATCAGCCACGGAACTCTCTTGGAGGGACTACTCCCCGTAATCAGACTCGCACAAGTTCTTATCCGTAAAATGCAAGCTACCGGTAGCCAACAACGCACCCCCTCCCCTCTAGTCAGCTTTTCCCAGCCGGCGCTCGGGGATTCTCCTCTCTGGATTCCGCCCCTGCCTCCGCACTGTTCAGCCGGGGCTCCCCGAACCTAGAGCGGAGGCTCTCCCACGGATGAGCTGCAAAAGCAGATTACGGGAATTCAATCCTCCTCGAAGGGGGAAAAGAAGACCGACAGGACAAAAGGCATGTAAAGTGCCGCTGTGGTCATCATCGCCACCCCAGTCGGAAATTCACTGCAGACTCAAGACTTCCTACCCAGTCCACATGCTGGCTTCGCGGCACTTCCAAAGGCGCCAGCGCGCCGCGTGCCTCACAAGTAGGAAAGGGTATCCATCGCCCCCTCTGAGGTGGTGCTTGAACTCGGCGATCGATCCAGAGCTGGCGGCCTGTCCCTTCCCCTTTTCTTCCCAGCTGCGCTGCGGCAGTCGCTGGACGCTGGTGGAAGCCCTCCCAGCCAGCTGCTTGGCTTGCTCCGCAGCTGGGAGGAGGAGGGGGAGGAGGAGAGCCGGGAAAGACACGTGATCGCTCCGAAACCTCTCCTCCCTCCCTTTGCCCATCGCAAGGATGCACGTGCACATCCCGGCGCGGCGGCGAGTCACATGACCCTCCTCCTATTCACTTCCATGCTGTTCCACGGCCGAGCTTAAGGCTATGTCGAGTGCTGGCGAATCTCCTTTTTGCCTTTGCTTGGCTGCTGCCGCTAGTTTTCCCTTAGATTGGAGGATAGGGATTTCACCTTCTGGCGAAGCCACCCCTGCTGCCTTCTTAGGTTTATGAAAGACCCGGTTGGAAAATCGGTTAGAAGTTTTTTCTGGAGTGCGGCGGGACAAAAATGTAATACATAAACAGCTAATGAGATCTACGTTGACGGTAGATCGACCCCGATCGATACTATATTCATTGTTCTATCTGCGTTTCTGTGGAACTCAAGTCAAAATTATGAAAAGCCGCACCGTTTTTCCCTTAACTATTTAAATAAATTGGAAGGGGGTGAAGTTGGATTTGGTGCCTTTGAACACTGAAATAGTAGGGGGAAAGAGAAGGAGGCTAAAATAAGTGTTTCCTTAAGCCATATTTAGAAAAACTCATGTTAAAAGTTAGCTGCAAATGCCACCACAAAATGAAGGGTGTCCTTCCTTTTCCTAATTGGAGTACTTTTAATTACAGCATAAACTGCTTTAAAATACCTTGGACTTTTCCAAACTAGCAAATTAATCAGCTCCACTTTACATGTTTCTTAACATGTGTATGTCTAAGTCAATCACCTTGCAATTGCATTTTAAGTCAACATTAATTGGCTTAAATGTATGAATTCAAAGTTCAGGCCTGTGTTCTGAAGATTATCTCCCCGTCCCTACTTGGAAGTTGAGAGCAAACTCTGTTTTATCAGAAGCATGCAGGAGTTTCAGAGTGTGTTTGCAAGTCCTGGTATTAACTCTCCTAGACTTCTGAACCTTGATTCAAACTGATTGGGGGGGCAGGGGCAAGGGAAAGACTCTGCTCATGCATTTATCTTGTGTCATTGGCCTGCATGGGTTCAGTTGCTGAGCCCTGGCAGTGCAAAATAAAATGGAACATGTCCCAAAGCTGAGCCCTGTCTCCATTAGGACTATGACCAGCACCCAAGAAAAGAAATTGCATAATTTGATGATTGTTGCCCTTATACACTCATGACATACATAAAAAGTGCCAAAATTCTTTGGTGATTGCCCTACTGCTGAAACCAGCTACGAGTAGTAATGTGATTGTATTGTAGCAAAAAAATATCATTCACTTTTAAGGCATTTGAATTCCAAGAGAATTATTTTCCTCTCCTTCCCAATAGTAACCAAGATTGGTTTATTTTGCTACATAACTGGAAAGTGCCATATATTCCAATTATGCTGTATTAATAATAATTAGATTGATGATAACATGGCATAATCTTTCTTTTGCCCTTGAATGTTATAATATGGGATAATAAAACAGTCATAAGCAGAAAAGAGATCTGAGTCTACATGCAAAGGCTTGGTAGAAGACACATATCAAGATGCCCTTGAAAGTCTTTTTGCTAGATATCATTCCATGAAACACAAGCAAATAAAAACATTGAGCTGACTAGTAATGCAAGGAAGCCTTGCATTTCTTTGCACATTTATCATGGATTAACATAATAACTTCCATGTCATGTTCATGAATCTATCTTTTAAGAAATTTTAAACACAAGGTTTATTACCAGTACCCTCACTCCTAAATTTTCCTCTTAAAGAACAAGATTCAGATTGCCTTTGAGCAGACATTAAAGTCATGGCAGTCAATTTGCTAATTAGTAAGGACAGAAATAAGAACCCAGGGGTCATAATTATTTATTTTTTCTATTATTTCCATCTGAGATTTACAGGGGAATGTGGACTGCCCCTTTGTTAGGTTCCCTCTTTCCCTCACAAATCATTCTTAAATTAGTTTAGGATGCATTCATATGTTTCCTAGACTAGCATCTCAACAGTTTTAGGATTTTCAGATTTTATGTTTCACACTTGGAAACTCCCTGAACATCTTCAGTAGGCCATATTGAACCCAGTGGTATTTATTTCCATCAAAATGTGCAAATAAAATAGCAACAGTTTTGTTTCTGATCCCCGGTGGGATTTAGAATAAAGCCCTATTGAGTACAATGGGATTCCCCCCCCCATGTAAATGAAGTATAGAATAAAAGATTTTATAGGTGATCTTTGACTTATTTGGCCGCATTTTGGGCATTGGCAACCAGCCTGCATTTACAACATCTCACAGTCACATGACTACAATTTATTATGTTTTTTTTCCAGAAACTGGCTTTTGCTTTCAGTTTCCAGGGGGATAAAATGACCATAGTGAAAGAACAATAGCTTTGCTTAATGACTGGTGTTCATTTAATGATCGCTGCAAAAAGGTTGTAAAATCAGGTCTGGCCACATGATGTCCTGCTTTTTGACCATCATAACTTAATGACTGTGCTTGTCAAACTCCTCTATGATTGTAAGTTGAAGACTACCGTACAATAGTGGCCAATATTGTGGAAACCTTTTGGGAAAAGTGTACAGTAGAAATGTCACCTTTGGTTAAGTTTCCAACAAATTTTTCTTCTAATTTCTTTATAACTGTAGCCTTGTTCACTTAATAATACCATTTCACATCACTTTCTGGGCAACCAGTCAACTCTTTGCATCATTACTTTAATTTTATTACGTTCTACAAACTCACTAAATGAAAGAACACACACAAAAAAACAACCAACTTGATAGCGATCACATAACACACTGACAAATGTCCTCCTCTCAGCTTCAATACATGACACCAATAACTGAATCCTACAAGATGACACCTGATTGGCTCTCTAAACACTCATGCTCATTGGCTACAATCAGATGAAGGAAAGCTACCTGATATCAACCTAAGCAAGTTGTGCTTCCTTTTTCTGGTTGGTTATTTGGCTATAACATTTCATAAAATACAATACAGATAATTGAACAAACTTTGTTGCATTACATTCTTGATTAAATTATCTTTCCATTGATATATAATTTTATGGTACTACTCCAAAAAAAATAGTGTTAATAGCCATCAAACCACAAAAGTACACTTTTCCCAAAAGGTTTCCACAATTTTGACCACTACTGTATATTTTTCTCTATATTTTAAATCATGATTGTACACTGCCCATTGTACACCACACAGAGTCACTTCTGGTAAGATGGGTGGCCATATAAATTTGATAAATAGCTAATTATATTTCAGCCAGATCTTTTATATTCACAGATAAATGTGGTTGTGCTCAGTGCATGAAACTATAGAAATGTTTTTAACCTTTCCTTTCCAAACTGCTCTCAATAGAAGAATCTCTAAAATAGAGAGAGAACTGCTTATTTGCAAATCTACCCTTGCTCTTTTCTGTTTTTTATTCCAGCAGCAGTAGATAGAGTGAACAAATGTTTCTCCTTTTTCTTTTTGACATCATTATAAATATTTTGAAAGCTGTAAACTTACATCTCCTAGGATTTCTTCCAGCAAGCAAAATATGCAAAGTTTACGCAACTTCTGGTAATGTGATTTGCCTTGCAGATTTTTTATTATCCTTGTAGCTCTGCCCACAGTCTTTTTTTGATCTGTCAACTTTCCTCTTGAATTATTCCTGAAACTGGAATTATCAAATATTGCTCTGAACTGTCTCTGACCTTTCTCACAAACCTGGCCATGAACGTCTCATGCTCAGAACTTGAGGGCATCATTAGACTAATAATCTATCCTAGGAGATAAGACCATTTAGAAGTACAATCTCTTCTATGCATAGGAAAGGCAGCGGGTGATCCATGCCTGGATTGAAATATATATTTAATCTAGGCATGAATTCAAAATGTGTGTGTCAGAGATGTTCTAGGGTGGGAGATGGGAAACGGCCAAGCCACTGGGGTGGTTGGAGAAAAGTTTATTGCAAAACTGCTTCATTGTCAGTTCTTGCTGAATGTATCTTTTTTGGGATGGAAAGAGGGAGGGGCAGAACTGGGTGCATTAGACTTGAATTCAAGGATGCCAACTAATGAGAGGCAAGGGGAAAGGACTGAGGTACAAGGAAAATTGAAAAATGGACAGATGAGCCTTTGGGTATGTATGCCTTTGTTGAGTTCAAGCATGGAAGAGGAAGGGAAGGAAGGCAGAGGGAAGATTGAATGTGGACTGGCTCTCAATGCTAAACAGGAGGTAAGAGAGGAATAAGAGGAACAAGCCTTGCTCTGTTCTCTCCATAAGTCAGACAGAGAGAGTTTTTATTTCAGCCAAAGGAGACCAGGTTTCATTTGCCTTAACTGTGACTTTGCCCATAATGGTTCCATCAAACTTCCAACCCACGGAACACATTTCTTTGTTTCACTTGCTGCTCCTCCTACCCTGGATAGGAGATTTCTGTACACAGAAGCCAGAGGCCTCTTCCCCAAAGCCCCAAATGTTTTGTGATGTAGCACTTTCTGGAACTAATATCTGAGCAAAGCAACAGAAAGACAAACAGTAATAAGAATATGAACGTGAAGTTTAAGGAATCCATAAAAAAGTTAATCTCCAATGGGCATTTGGTACTTAGCTAACTTGACCGCCTGAGAAAACAAAAAGGTATCACCTCTGTATTGATGGATGATGCCTTGAGAGACAGCAGCGGAGATGAACGAACATGACTTGCCATGCGCATGACATGTTTAGATGCTCTCCTGAAAATAAATTATCATATTCAGTATGTGTAAAAAGCCCAAGCTTGGAGCAGACTCTGAAGAAAAAATTGGAGCAGGAAGTAGACAAACTTCAACTCGTCAGATAGCATAGATCAGGGGTGCTCAAACACAATTTCACTGAGAGCCACATCAGCATTGTGGTTGCCCTGGGGGGGCTGGGGGTGTGTGGCCAGAGTAGGTGCAGCCTACTGGGTGGGTGTGGATGGAGTGGGTGTGGACTACTGGGTAGGCGTGGCCAGTTCTACATCATTCGTGTCAAAGGTGCCTATGGGGGCCTGGGCAGGAGTGGGACAGATCTG